CTCCAGTTCCATCCCGGATACTAGATACTAGATCATCATTTTTTATGGCTGAGTAGTCTCCATGGTATACATATACCACATTTGATTAATACACTCATGTAGTGGTGGGCACTTGGATTGTTTCCACATCTTTGCAATTGTGAATTGTGCTGCTGTAAACATTTGGGTGCAAGTGTCTCTTTTATAAAATGTCTTTTTTTTTCCCCTTTGGGTAAATACCTAGTAGTGGGATTGCTGGATCAAATGATATTTCTACTTTTAGTTTTTTGAGGAATCTCCATACTACTTTCCATAGAGGTTATACTAATTTTCAGTCCCACCAACAATGTTTAAGAGTTTCTTTCTCTTCGTATCCATGTCAGCAGTGGATAAAAGTCATTTTTGATGACTTTTTTTGATAAAAGTCATTCTAACTGGAGTTAGGTGATATTTCATTGTGGTTTTGAGTTGCATTTCCCTGATGATTAGTCATTGAGCATTTTCACATGTGTTTGTTGACAATTAATGTATCCTCATTTGCAAAATTGCTGTTCATGTTCTTTGTCCCCTTTTATTGGAGTTGTTTAAATTTTCTTGCTGATTTGATTGAGCACTTTATAGATTCTTGATATCAGCCCTTTATCAGATGTATAGCATGCAAATATTTTCTCCTATTCTGTAGGTTGTCTATTCGCTCTACTGATTATTTCCTTGGCTGTGTAGGAGATTTTTAATTTGATCACATCCCATTTCTTTATTTTTGTTGTTCCTGTGCTTGCTTTTGGTCTTCTTCATAAATTCTTTGCCTAGGCAGATACCTATAAGAGTTTTTCAAACATTTTATTTTGGAATTCTATAGTTTCATGCCTTAAATTTAAGTCTGTTATCCATTGTGAATTAATTTTTGTGAGTGGCGAGAAATGCAGATCCTGTTTCACTCTTCTACTTGTGGCTATCCAGTTTTCCCAGAATCATTTATTGGATAGGGATTCTTTTCCCCAGTGCATGATTTTGTTGGCTTTGTCAAAGGTCAGATAGCAATATGAGGATGGTTTCATATCTGGGTTCTCTGTTCTGATCCATAGTCTATGTCTCTGTTTTTGTGCCAATACAATGCTGTTTCGATTACTGTAGCTTGTAGTATAGCTTGAAGTCTGGTAAAGTGATATCTCCTGATTTGTTCTTACTGCTTAAGGTTGCATTGGCTATTTGGGGTCTTTCCTGGTTCTATATGAAGTGTAGAACTATTTTTTCTAGATCTGTGAGAAATGAAGTTGATATATTAATGGGGATTGCATCGAATCTGTAAGACACTTTTGGTAGTATAGACATTTTAACAATGCTGATTTTGCCAATTAATAAGCATGGTATGTTTTTCCATCTGTTTACATCCTCTGCTATTTCCTTCCTCAGTGTTTCATAGTTCTCCCTATAGAGGTCTTTCATCTCCTTAGTTAAAAATCATTCCTAGGTATTTTGTTTTCTTTGTTGCTATTGTGAAAGGTATTGCATCTTTGATTTGATTCTCAGTTTGACTGTTGTTAGAGTATATGGAAGCTACTAATTTGTATACATTGATTTTGTAATCTGAGACTTTGTGGAATTTATTTATCAACTCCATGTGTCCCTTGGTTGATTCTTTGGGGTTTTCTAGATACAAGATCATAACATCAGCAAACACCTCTTATACACTGTTGCCCACTATATCACCACTTCTATTCAACATAGTGCTTAAAGTCCTAGCTAGAGCAATCAGACAAGAAAAGAAAATCCAGGGTACTTTTTTTCTTTTTTGAATTGGCCAAATGACCAAAATCAGATATGCCCAATAATTGATTAGGATGCTCTCTCTCAATGGTCTTTGATCCATACAAGTGGAGAAAAACTCTAAGTAGAGTGGTGATGTTACCAGTTTCAGTAACAATACACCACTGGCACTCAGCCTCTTATGTGTCTTGTATCATGCTAAGTATTTTATATGCATGATCTCAGTTCTCTCAAAACCCAATGTGACAAGTACTGTATAATAATTATGTCCATTCTCCAGATGAGGAAACTGAGGCTTAGAGAAATTCAGTAACTGTGCAAGGTCACAAGGTAAGAGGCAGGATAAACATTAAACAAAACAGTCAGTCCCATGCCAAAAGATCATGTCCTAAATCCCCAATCTTAGAACCGCCATTTCCAACTTGAAAATAGGTACGTGGCTATTGTAGATCATCCTACACAAACCATATGTGAAATTCAAGGGATATTAGTCTATTTGGTTAAGTAGACTATGTGATTTATATACTTTCTTTAATTGAACGTTTTCATTCATTCATTCATTCATTATACCCTATTTTGCCTTGGAGATAAAACAAATTTGAAACCGGGTGTGGTGGCTCACACCTGTAATCTTAGCACTCTGGGAAGCTGAGGCAGGAGGAATTCTTGAGCTCAGGAGTTTGAGACTAGCCTGAGCCCTGAGCAAAGGTGAGACCCCATCTATACTAAAAATTATCTGGATGTGGTGGCACATGCCTGTAGTCCCAGCCACTCGGGAGGCTGAGGCCGGAGGATTGCTTAAGCCTAGGAGTTTGAGGTTGCTGTGAGCTAAGCAGACACCACTGCCTGGGAGACAGAGCAAGACTCTGTCTCAAAAAACAAATAAACAAAAAAATCAGATATGAAACAAAAATATCTTCATAAAAAGCAGTTGTTGATAAAACCGATCTGGCGAGTTATACTGGCTATTATGTGTGCATGTCGCTCTACACCTTCTTTCTTCTTAAGGCCCAATGGGAAAGCATGAAGTTGACCTAAACTCCAAGTTTCCTGGGGTTTGGCAGATTGTCCCTTATTGAAGGTTGGTATGAACATACAAGCAGCCCAAACAGCGGCTCTGGGAACAGGCCACTCAGAGTGTGGTCATTTACGCTGGCGTGGGTAGTAGCAGTGAGCAGACCACAGGACCATGTTGCTGTAATGGCCCTGTTAGAATCCAAGTGGTCAAGGAAGGTCTCTCCTATCCCTCCAATATGCTTCACTTAATCCAGAAAGGCTGGGTGGATAGAGGGAAACTTCTACTCCAAGTAGAAGGACAAGTTTAGGGGCCAAAATTCCACACCACCTCAGGGAGGGCCAAGTTTTCAAGCAGCCATGTGCCAGGTCGCAGAAGCACTTAGGTATTAAACAGATCTGTCAATATACTGTGTCAGCGTTCATCCCACTGATGTGACTAAGCTGGGAACTTGCTCTGCTGTGGGGGTGGGCCTATCCTTTCCATTCCTCTAAGGTTTTCCTGTGAGTTGAAGGATCACGGGGAGCTGCCAGAATGAGCGTGTGAGGATGGCAGCAAAGAACTGGCACTTTTGGTTTTTTTCCAGGAGCATCAAGTCAAAATCCAGCTATTAGCACAGAGGGTTCAATGGAGAAGTCAAAAAGAAAAGCACATTGGTATTCACATTAGGCAGAAAAGAATCCACAGAGCTGTTAGAAAACCCGGAGGGAAATAGAAGCCAAAGAAGTTTTCCTACTTACACACTAATGATGTTTATCGGCACAGGAGACTGCTTCTGTTCTAGTACTTTATATACAATTTAGAGGCCATTAAAATTTAATTTGAGATAATTCATTATAAATGTATTTTCTATTGGAAGTTTCAGAATAGTAACTCAAACATTTCAAAAAATCTCTGTTTTTACTTACACTGTATTTTGCCTCCACTACTGAGTGAAAAACTCAGATACAGTCACCTACCCAAAATAATGGACCCTTCCCTCCAACCTTTCTGCTGAATATTCAGACACACAGGTGTGGGAGTGAAGTGAGAGGAAGGAAACCTTACAGCAAAGAAAATCTCTCTGTTTTACATAAACTCAGACACTTTGGTGGTTGGGAGATGTGTTTTCCAGAGTGTTAGACACACTTCTTCAGTCCTAATTGAGAATGTTGTTATCAGCATCCTGTAATTGCAAATGCCAAATTTAAATATCAATTTGAATTAAGCAGAAATGAACAAAGAAAAATTCAAAAGCACTGTAATAGAAAAATCTTTGATTTCCTAGATTATCTACATCAATTTATATGGACATGTATGTGGGTCCATATCTAGATACTGCATTTCCAACATGAAGTAATGAAATAAATATAAACATTAGAATGTAGGCCCTATCCCTTCATAGGGCATTGGACAAATGATTTATGCATTCTAAGACTCAGGACCTCATCTGGAAAATGAGGAAAAATAATACCTAGGTCCTAGGTATTACAAAGTAATAGAAAATGTAATCTCCTATCAGTTTTTAAACTGATAGGAGAGCAAGAAATCTGAGCTTCATGAGAGCAAGAAATCTGAGCTTTTTGTGTTTTCCACCAATTTCTGTATCTTCAGTAGCTAAGACTTTGCCTGGCACTCAAATATGTGTTGAAGGAATGAATTATATGTACAATAACAGAGATGCCGTATGGGAAATGTCTATCCCATTGTTAATTAGTAAATGTGTGTTTTTTCTTTCTACTTTCATTCCCATCATAGTAATCCAAATGTTGAAGGCTCAGCTCTTTTGATTCAAAGTCATATTATAGGTTCATGCTCAGATATTCTTACATATTTGCAGTATGAATTATCTTTGAGTACTTCCTTTCTCTTATTTTTTCTTATCAAATTCATTAGCACAGATTCTTAATTCAACCTTCAGAATGTATTTCAAATCCATCCACTTCTGACTACTGCCACTGCCACCATCTAATCCAAGCCATGATATCCTAAATGGACTCTTGGAATAACCTCCTACTTGGTCTTCTTTTCTAATCCACTGCACCTTTACAATCCTTTGCTGGATCTCTAGTCTCATCTTGTATTATTTTCCCTCTTGCCAGTGTTCCAACCATCCAGATCTCCTTTCTATTTTTTACTCACCAAGTTCTTTCTGAGCTTAAATCTTCATACTTGTTATTAGCTCTTCCTCAAAATGCTATTACCCTGGCTCTTGTGTGGCTGGTTTCTGCACATGCACAAGTTCTCTGCTCAAACGTACCTGTTCAGGCTTGGCATGGTTGTTTACACCTATAATCCTAGCACTCTGGGAGGCCAAGGCAGGAGGATCACTTGAGGTCAGGTGTTCAAGATAGGCCTGAGCAAGAGTGAGACCCCATCTCTACAAAGAAAAATAGAAAAATTAGCTGGGCTAAGTGGTTCCCACGTGTAGTCCAATTACTTGGGAGGCTGAGACAGGAGGATGGCTTGAGCCCAGCAGTTTGAAGTTGCAGTGAGTTATGATGACCCAGAAAAGTCACAATCTTTATACCAGACTATGTGGAATTCAGGAAAAATAGCATTAAATGAAACAAAGAATAGGACTTCATAATGCCAAAATGTGTAATTAAATATCATTGCACAATTCAAATGTACAATTAAATATAGCTATGCACCAAATAGCATAACAATATTCATAGAGCAAAAATTATAGAAGATATTATAAAGAGAAATAAACACAAACACACTAACGTTGGGAAACTTTAGTTCATCTCCCTAGTGTACAACTGATTAGGTGGACAAATAGCAAATAATAATAGAATGACCTAAATATCATAATTGATGTAATACAAATGATTGATATAAACCCTATAACCTTAAAATAGAGAATATATCATCTTTTCAAATAATGGGCCAATACAAATCTTCTAAACTCTAAAAAAAGAATCATATAAATAATATTATTTGATCAAACTAACTAGAGACTAATAACACTATTAATAATGATATGAATATTCTAAACAATATATTAACATTAGCAAACTGAATTCAGAAGCTCAGAAAAACAATAGCAATATCATTGCCAAATGGGGTCATAATAGTTCAATACTAAAGACTCTATTAATGCAGCTTATCATATTGACAGATCTAAAAGATACATCATAAGATCTCTCAACAGATGCTAAAAAACCACCAGCTGAAATTCATCAGCCTCTCTTGATACAACAAACAAAACAACAAAGAAAACATTGAATGAAATAGAAAGAGAAAGAGGCTGTCTTATCATGGTTAAATGTATCTATTTCAATTCAAAGCTATCATATGGTTCCTGACTTTTATGGGAATGTCTTCATTGTGTTGGTTAGTATCTACTAATACCATTACTATTTAACAACATGCTAGAGTTACTAGTTAACACAATTACCCAACAGAAAGAAATTACAGACATAAAAAAATGGAATATATGAGTAAAAATAATCACTAACTGAAGATGACATTGTAGTATAATTGGAAGATTCAACAGATGTCATTAATAACTGCTACAAACAGCAAGATAATTTAGTAAGATAATCAAGCACAAAATCAATGTACAAAAATAAATAATTTTCATATAATCAAACAACAATCAGAAGATTTAATGGGGGAAAAGATTTCATGTATAATAGTAACAGAAAAGATAAAATGCATAAACTTTGTTTTCAAGAAATATGTAAGACCTATTGAAAATTAAACATAAAATACTACTGAAGGACACAAAATAGTCTTTCTACAAGTAGAAAGACCATGTTATCTGGTAGGAAGACTTAGCATCATGAATGTGTCAATTCTCAAATTAATTTGTAAATGTAACCTAATCTAAATTAAAACCCAACAATTTAAGCTACATCACCTGATGCTAAATTTATCAAGAAAAATAAACAGAGAAGAAGGACTAAAAGACATTAGAACATTTATAATATAAAAACCTAAATAATTAAGAGTATCAGACTGGTCCATTAGCAAAATAGAAAGCCCAAAAGTAAGCATACCCATATACATACAGGAATTGAGTATATAAAAAAAGATACCATCTCTAATCATTGGGGAAAAGGACTAAGTCAATAACTGGTATAGGGATAAATGAAGTAATATTCATGCCTTACATCATATGCCAGGATAAATTCCAAATGTACCAAAGATTTGAATATTTTAAAAGGCAACAATAAAATATTAAGAAGAAAACCTGGGAGATTTTCATTATAAATCAGGAGTTAGGAAGGTCTGCCTAACTTTTCATGACTCAAAATCCCCAAGTCATAAATTATTTTAGTAATATATTTTGTTGTTAAAAATCAAAAATTTTTTCATGAAAAGAAGGATTAGAAATGAAGTTTTAAAAAGACAAACTAATAAAAAGAGTTGCAACTCATCACAGATTAAAGGCTAGACTTCCTAATATAAAAATTGATAAGACTATAATCCATTTGAAATATAGGAAAAAAACTAAATTGCTCTTAAATAAATGACAAGATAACCAACTTCACCACTAAGAAGGAGAAATGTAAGTTAAAACTACAGATGGAAAACCATTCTCTACCTTTCATTTGGCAAAATTCCAAAGTTAGCTAACATACTCTGTTGATAGTGCTCTGGGGGGGAAATTATTTTCTCATGCATTATTGATTAGAGTATAAATTGGACAAAGTGGTAACATCTATACAAATTACAAATGCATCTATTTTTCAGCCTAGCAATTTCACTGCTAGAAAATTCCAGACATACACCAGGAATATGTAAAATATTGTATGTATAAGATTATTAATTACAATGAAAAATTTGGAAATATACTAATATCCACCAAAATGTAACTAGCTAAATATCTATATAATGTAATTATGGGTAGTTGTTAAATGCTGAATACAGAAACTCTCCATCTACTCCCATTGAGTGGTTTCTAAGGTCTATTAAGTGAAAGTAATGAAACTAAGTGAAAATGGAATAGTGTAGAATAGTGTTTGTTAAGTGAAAAGGGAAGAGTGTATATGTTTATGTGATCTTTTGGGTAAAAAGTAGGAAAATAATATTCCTGGGTCTTCAGAAAGCTCATGGAAAATGCATATTATGAAAAAACTATGCATAGATTTAAAAAAAAAATTTTCACCAGAATAAACACATACTAATTTGGTATAACCAGTGTGATCAGGATCTAGTTTGAGGCACTAAGGATAAGACACATCAGTTTGAAAAGAGTCCCTAACAGAACAACGTGAATTCTGCTAAAATTAAAGCAAGAACACATACTAGGTTTATGGTGACATTTTGGGCAGAAGAATGGTGAAATCATTGATGCTTTACAAAAAGTTTAGAGGGACAATGACCCAAAGAAATCAGCAGCTTACAATTGGATAACTTGTTTTAAGATGGGATGAGACAATGTTGAAGATGAAGCCTTTTAGCGGCAAACCATCCACATCAATTTTTGAGAAAAAACAATTCATCTTGTTTGTTCCCTAATTAAAGACAACCAACAATTAACAGCACAAAAAATAGCCAACACCATAGACATCTCAATTGGTTCAGCTTACACAATTCTGAATGAAAAATTAATGTTGAGCAAATTTTCTATTCAGGTGCTAAAACTGTTGTGCCCAGATCAGCTGCAGAGAAAGGCAGAGCTTTCTGTGGAAATTTCAAACAGGCGGGATGAAGATCCTAAAGCATTTCTCTGAAGACTTGTAACAGGAGGAGAAATATGACTTTACCAGTATGATCATGAAGACAAAGCACAATCAAAGCAGTAGCTACAAGAGGTGGATGTGGTCCAGTCAAAGCACAAGTAGAGCAGTCAAGAGCAAACGACACAGGGACAGTTTTGGAGGATGCTCAAGGCATTTTTTTTGTTAACTTTCTAGAAGACCAAAAATGATAACATCTGCTTATTATAAGAGTGTTTGGGAGAAGTTAGCCAAAGCTTTAGCAAAATAATGCCCGGGAAAGCTTCACTAGGGAGTCCTTCTCTACCACAATGATGCTCCCGCTCATTCCTCTCATCAAACAAGGGCAATTTTGTAGGAGTTTCAGTGGAAAATCATTAGGCATCCACCTTACAGTCTTGTTTGGTTCTTTCTGACTTCTTTTTGTTTTCTAATTTTAAGAAAAGTCTGTTAAGGGTACCCATTTGTCTTCAGTTAATAATGTAAAAAAGATGCATTGATATGGTTACATTTCTAGGATGTTTAGTTCTTTAGGGATGGACTAAATGGCTGGTATCACCCCTTACAAATGTGTCTTGAACTTGATGGAGCTTATATTGAGAAATAAAGTCCATATTTTTAAATTTTATCCCTTAATTCCACTTTTCCACAAAATTTTTGAAGTTCCCCCATATAACTATATTTTCCTGTATATACATAAAAAAATTCTAGAGGAATACTCAAGGAATGATTAATAGCTGTTACCTATAGGGTTACTAGAGCCTGAGTTAATAAGAGATGTTGATATAAATGACACTTTTCACTGTATAACTTCTTATGTAGTTCTGAACCACAAGAATGCCTTATCTATTCAAAATCAAATTTAAAATATTTAAACAAGAAAGAACAATTTGTTATGAAGCTAATACTGGTTTGTGTCTTTTTTCACTTTTCTTAATTTTATGCATTTTTAATGTAGGAAATAAAATTTTGAAGGCATTAGTAGAGTCTATATCTCACTATACATTATTTCCTTTTTAATAAAATTTTAACATTTGCATAATCCTTAACATTTCCAGCAGGAAACTACATTAGAAAGCCCAAACCATAAAACTGATTACTTTTCAACTACAAAAGGTTTCACTCAAAATAGTTTGCCAGGACTGTATAGTTTCCTGGTCATATTTTCTGATCAACAGAATTCTTATGACAAAAGTATTTTTTTCTTAAGACTTTATTGTTTAGAGCAGTTTTAGGTTCACAGCAAAATTGGGAGGAAGGTACTTAAATTTCCCATATACAGTATGCCTCCCACACATGCGCAGAAGCCCCCATGATTAACATGCCCCACCAGAGTGGGACATTTGTTACAATTAATGAAGCTACATTGACAGATCATTATCACCCAGACTCCATAGTTTAACTTAGGTTTCACTCTTGGTGTTGTAGATTCCACAGGTTTGGACAAATGTATTAATATAATGACATATATCCACCTTTATAGGATTATACAGAGTATTTTCACAGCCCTAAAAATCCTCTGTGCTCTGTCAATTCATATCTCTCTCTTCCCCCCAATCACTGTTCTAAACTGTCTCCATAGTTTCACCTTTTTCAGAATGTCATATAGTTGAAATCATACAATTCAGATTGATTTCTTTCGATTAGTAACATGCATTTAAGGTTAATCTATGTCTTTCCATGGTTTGATAGGCCATTTCTGTTAGTGCTGAATATCCCACTGCCTGAATGTACCACAGTTTATTTATCCATTCACCTAGAAGGACATCTCAGTTGCTTCCAAGTTTTACAATTATGAACAAGTCTACTATAAATATCTGTGTGCAGGTTTTGTTTAGACATAAGTTTTTAAGTCCTTTGGGAAAGGAGCACAAGTGTTGGATCATGCTCCTTGGTATCTAAGCATACATAAGAGTATGTCTAGTCTTGTAAGAAACTGCTAAACTGTCTTTCAAAGTGGC